TTGGGACTTTTAACATGTCAATCATAGTTATATTAAATATTTCCAACATTTGTGCCATCATTGAGTCTAATTTTGTTTGTTTGGTTTGGTTTTTGAGACAAGAGTCTGACTATGCAGTCCAGCCTGGCCCTGAACTCAGTAATCTTCATGCCCCAGCTTCTTGAGTGCTGAGATTACAGATGTGTGTGACCACACCTGGCTCTGATTACAGTTGTGATTGCTGTGTCTTGTGGAAGTGTTAATTTTCTTGCCTATTCATATACTTTGTAATGCTGAGGCCATAAGTGTTGCAGTGGGATGCTAGTGATGTGAATTGGTTTTATGTCTGGAAACAGACATATTTCTATGAGGAAAGAGGGAGTTTGTGCATCTTGGAGGGTGGTTTTGGGTTACTTTGTGATTAATGAAAATTGTCGTCAGTGTACCAGTCTTTCAAACAACTGGAGAACAGGGTTGTTAGTGTAGGGGCTATTTTCCAGAGAAGTCTGCTGAATTCAGAACTTCTGTCTCCCCTTCTTTGCTGTGCCTTACTTAGAATCTGTTGGCAAGCTCTTATTCTCTACTGTCCCATTAGTTTTCTTATTAACTATTCTTAGTTACTTATTATTTAGAGCTCTTTTTGCAGAATGAAAGGGAATCTGTTCTATTCAAGGCTCAGGCTTAAACATGTATTATCTCTGTTTGTGGTCTTAGGGCAGATCTCTGGCTCTCCTTAAGGAGTAGGGCCTTTTATCAGCTGCTTCCCAAACAACCCAGCACCCTGAAGTCAACAGTATTGCCCTTCCCTCTTACATGATAACTTTCAGTCCCCGGTGCTTTTCTGTCCATCCCAGTCCCTCAGGTCTATACCACAGTGGAGACTTAGGACTCTGCAATATTTTCTATAAATGCCTGATGAGGTTTGTGGGGAAAAAGCTTTTAAGATCATACCAAATACTCTCCCAATTACTGTATTCTTCAGAGGCTGACCACTAACCACAAGCTTTCAAATTCTCACTAATTTTAGATGAAATGATAAAATATTTTTACCATTGACCAATTGCCTTTATGTCAGGCATGACCAGTTGCCTCTATGCCAGGTAAGGCTATGTCTTTGTCTCTTCCTGATGCACTGTCTTCTTAGATTTTTGGATCATTTTCCTGTGGTGTTAGGTCTCTGACAAGTTTAAAAAACAAATTCATTAATTTGACATTAGCTCTCTTTCCCACAACTCTTAGGTGTAACATTCTTCCTAGTTCTCTATGCCCTGGGGCAAAAGACAGAATCAATATAATTTTTTTAAAAAATAATAATAATTCATATAAATGAAAACTAGAAAGATATACAAACATAAAGGCAAAGAGGAAAAAGCAGATTGCATGGAAGGATTTAAAATACTGAAAAATAATAAAATGCTGAAAAAAAATAAAACAATAAGAATATCATAGAGGCAAAAAACTTCAGTAATTTGGGAGAATGTTGAAACACATTATATAAAAGAACTTTTTAAAGATATTAAGTCAGTTTGAGAATTTATAAGCCATCTGTTGCCTGAATGCGGGAATCTAAGTCTTTCCTTTTTTTTTTTTTTTTTTTTTCTTTTTGTTTTTTGTTTTGTAGTGGAAGAGACATTAGAAGTCCCTAGAGCAGTTATGGTGAACCTTTTAGAGCCTTCAATGACAACAAACAGCTACAGTGGCTAACATGCCACGGGTTCACCACAGGTTCTAGACCAAACCTGAGTGAGTCCTTTCATTCTCTTTTGCTGACAAAAAGTTTTTAAAAGCTTTAAGACCCAATCTCTGAGCCAGAGATTCTTTTAAATGTTTTGAGGCTCACTTGAATTTTGTATTGTGCTCTAAAATACAATACTTAAATATTAGAATGCCTGCCACCTCATCAGTTAAAATTGGTATTTAAAATGGCCACCCACATTTACCACCTGCACATATATAAAGCCAACATATCCCTGAGTTTGTTAAATGGCAAGAGGAATGCTATTTTTCTTTCTTAAACAGATAAAGAAATGGGTGGCCATTTTAAATACCAATTTTAACTAATGAGGTGGCAGTCCTTTAATCAGGGCTTGGTGGAGTCTGCCAGAAGCCATACAACTTACTTAGTGTCAAAAGTAGGATCTGAACCCAGATTTTCTAATCTCCAGTTTAGAACTCTTGCTATCATATAAAATGCATATCCACATTTCTGTGTTTTAAGCCATAACTAAAGCACAATTCTGTAAAGAGTATTAATTAAATCTGTGTACTGCCATTTTGAAGTATATAACAGATTTAAGTTTGGGACATGCCTTCCACAATTCCACTTTAGGACCTTAGTTCACATTAGTACATTGAAAGAACCTGAAGAAGGTTTCTATTAAATTCATTTTTTTAACCTGGTATTTCATAATTGAGGAACGTTTACTTTAATCTTTCATAATGCTGTGTAGCATAATTGTGATCCAAGTTAGGAGGTATAGGGATATTATTTCAACTTTGGAAACCAGCCTATAGATACAGCATTTGTACTAGCAGGCATATGTTTTAAGGTAATAGGACAAAGCAAGAGAAATGAGCTTGGTCAGCCTTTACTGGAAGCTTTAAGAGCCAATTTAAAAGAAATCTCTGGCTTAGAGATTGGCTTTTATTCTTAAAAATGTACACACATCCTGCATGTTCTCTGTATTGTTAAACATCACCAAATATATAACATCCAAATTGACCTGAGTCATTTCTATTTTCCTGTATGCCCCAAAGCACCCTTGATATGCCTTCTTCACTGTTCAATAGAACCTTGGAGCTGTTTTAAATTCATTTCCAAAGAAATCTTCAGTAGTAAAATGATGCAGTATATTGATTATATGTTGTCCATATCTATCATCTATAATTCCAATTTACATGTAGTTTTATAAATCAGCTTGCACTAGAAACAGATGTTCTTTTCTGAATTGATCAGCCCCATGAGAATGAAAACAATAATGGAATGCTACTGTTGACAGACTTACACTGTTTGACTTATTAAGAAATAATACATAACATTTATAACAGGCACTTTTGCATGTGCTTCACATGTATTCATTCATCATACTTTTTGAGGTAAGTAACATACTCCTCTCTTACAGTCAGGAAAGAACCATTTAAACCCAGGAAGCTGGTACTGAAAATGCCATTAACTGCTTGCTGTGCTGTGTATGCTCCTGTTGTAATTATTAAATGTAAATAACTTCATATTTTAAAAACTTACAGTTTTTTGGTGTTCTATTCTTAACATGCATTGAACAGTAAGTACCCACCTTGTATTGGTTCCTGGCCCTAGAAACCTAGGTATAAAAAAATTCAGTGTGGCTTTCAACCATGTAGAGCTAAAAATGAGTTTGCCAGAATATAGCTGGCAACTTGCTAAAGAATAGTTTTAAAATTGTTTTTCATCTTTCAGACTTCTTGTCATTTTTAATTGTAGTTATAAAGCATACAGCACAACACAGGATTTGACATCCTATTTTTAAGTGTAGTTCAGTACATTCACATCATGGCGCAACATATCTCTAGAACAGTTTTATCTTTTACAACTCAAACTGATCCATTAAATGACTCCCATTTTCCCTTCCCCCAGATCCCAGGAAGACACCATTTTAGGTCTTGTTTCTGTTAATTGCTTACTTTATAAATACCTCATGCAAGTGGAATTATACTGCTTGGTCTTTTTGTGGCTGACTTATATTTCACTTACTGTAATGTCCTGATGGTTCATACCTTTTATAGCATGTCAGATTTTCTTCCTTTTTAAGGTTGAATGATACTCCATTTATGTGTACATCACATTTTCTTTATTCATCCATTGAGCATATACATTGGAAATGCTACCTACCACCTGTTGACTGCATTGAACACAGGCACAAATCTGAGATCTTACTTTTTAACACTTTGGCTATGAAAGTAGAAGGAGTCTTGCTGAATCATATGGTAAATTCTAATTGTAATTTTCCAAGGAACCTTCCATTTTCTATAGCAGCAGTATCATTTTCCATACCCCAGAAAAATTCCAAAGCATTCCACATTCTTCACATCATCAGCTGATATATTCTAGTGGTGGTGGCGGTGGCTGTTTTTTATTTTCACTTCCCTAATGATCAGGTGATAAAAGTGTTTTTTTATATGCCCACTGGCAGTTTGTATATCTCCACTAGAGAGTATCCAAGTCCTGTTGTCATTTTTTAAATTCATTTTGTTGTTATTAGGCATTATATATGTATTCTGAGTAGTAACCCCTCATGAAGTGATTTGTAAATATTGTCATTCCTTAGGCTACCGTTTGATTCTTTCTGATGTCCCAATGTGTGCAGTTTTTAATGTAGTGCTTTTTCTTTTGGTTGGTTGGTTTCATGTCATACCCAAGAAATTGGTGTAAAATCCAATTTTAGGAAGCTTCTTTGGAAGTTTTATGGTTTTAGGTCTTACAGTTAGGTCCTAATCCATTTTGAGTTAATATTTGCATGTAGTTAATATAAGGTTTCAAAAAAAATTTCACTCTTCTCCATCTGGATATCTAGTTTTCCAAACACAATTTATTGAAGACCTGCCTGTTAAGATCCCCCCAACCCCCTTAAAGGTAGGAAAAGAAACAGTCTCTGCAGGGCAAGCATGGAACCAAGTAAAAGGAAGGAAAGAAGTACACCCTACACTATGTGAGCTATCATATAAGAGAATAAAGTGGCCTTTTCTGTTAGAATTTTTAAATTGCTCTGAAATGAAGATTTGTGAGACTATTTTTATTTTTAAGATACTTTTCAACTTCTAAGTGAACATTTAACTTTATGGAGTTATGTTTTTTTTATCAGCCTTCAGAGTATATTAAAATTTTATAGAAGACAATTTCATAGTTATTCTACATATCTTTTCAAATGCCTATTCCAAATAAGAAAAAAAATACCATCAAATGCCGATTCCTTCAAGCTATTTTTTTTTTTAATCTGAACTAATACAAAAATCATTTGAATAAATTTTTGTCCTTTTGTTTGCAGGGAAGCTGCTCGTGAGTGTCGTAGAAAGAAGAAAGAGTATGTGAAATGTTTAGAAAACAGAGTAGCAGTGCTTGAAAACCAAAACAAGACACTGATTGAGGAGCTAAAAGCACTTAAGGACCTTTACTGCCACAAATCAGATTAATTTGGGATTTAAATTTTCACTTGTTACGGTGGAATCAAAATGGACTGGATTGGCCACAACCAGAAAGACAAAATAAACATTTTATTTTCTAAACATTTCTTTTTTTTCTATGCGCAAAACTGCCTGAAAGCAACTACAGAATTTCATTCATTTGTGCTTTTGCATTAAACTGTGAATGTTCCAAAACCTGCCTCTACTTCTCCCCTCAAGAAACTTTCAGCGCCAGGAATCATGAAGAGACTTCTGCTTTTCAACTCCCACCCTCTCCAAGAAGTAATAATTTGTTTACTTGTAAATTGATGGGGGAAATGAGGAAAATGAAATTTTTTTAAATGATTTCAAGGTTTGTGCTGAGCTCCTTGATTGCCTTAGGGACAGAATTACCCTAGCCTCTTGCGCTGAAGTAATTTGTGGGCCGCATGCATAAAGTAAGTAAGGTGCAATGGAGAACTGTTGATTGCCAAACTGATTTGTTTTTACATTTTCATGGTGAATTATGTAAAACTATTAAAAAACAAAAACAAAAAAAAACCTCTAAAATAATTTGAGTATGAGGAATGAATTTGGAGTACTCTATGTTTGTTCTTTTCTTCAGTACTTGAAAACTTGTTCTTGATCCTTAAAAATATCCTGTACTAGTTACAGGGCAGTTGTTGCTTCTTAATTTGGTTCTATATGTGTTCAGCATTGTTGAATACATTAAAAGAAGTAACCAACTGAATGAAAAGCATGGTATTTGAATTTTAAATTAAGTCAAAGTAAATAAAAGTCAGTAGCTCATTTGAGTTAGTGTTTAATCTTAGTAAAAAGATGCAGACTAGTACACCAATTCCTTGTTATGTAACAAGGCTTTTAAATAAACTTTTTTGTCCTCAACGTCAAAAAATACTTATATTGTCACTCATTTACTTAAGTTATTTCCAATTTACTGTTGCCCTCTTTGCATCTATATTGCACCACCAACAAGAAAGTCTTCAAGATGTTACATAAAGCAAAAATGATATATTTATGTTATAGGAAAATACTGATTTTTAAGTGTTTCCCATACTAAAAGAAGTTATAAGGATATGGCCCTAAAAGCTAGTGTTACTTGTACATAAGAAAAATAATTTTTTCAGACATATTTGAATGTCTGCGGTACTACAATATTTGGATTATCATTCTTGTAAAACATTTATTGTTTTTATCTGAAATGGGTAGTAGGCTTGAGCTTTCCAATATACTATGTAACCTTTATCATTTATAAAGCAGCTACCTATTTTAATTCTTGACAGTCTGCATTTGTGTATCATACATTACTCCCAACAACTCATTTTATTCACTAAGCCTGATAAGTTAAAAATTACCATGTATAAGAAAAATAGTAGAGTCGTAAGAATTGGAAACTGACATAATGTTAGCTTATAATTTCTCATCTGAGAAGGAAATTTCTTTTTAAGAAGTCAAACAAAATATATGGGCATGGGTTACTTAAAGTGAAGTTGTTTAACATGACTACAAACTAGATAAAAGTTTTAGTTGAGTCCATTTAAGTAAGATTTTTTAATTAATACTTGTAAATGTTGTATTTTTGTTTGTAACAAACCATTGTCTTTTTTCAAGGATGAACAGTTTGTGAAGGAGCATCATTCTAAGAATTGAGTGATGTAGTCTTTATATTTGGACAGTTCACCAGATTCTCAAGAAGGCTTTCAAACGACTGTAAAGTTTGATGTTTGTCCTGCTGAGCTAATGGGGAAACTGATAGCATAAAAGTGATTTTGTATAACAGCATAGTATGTCATTTTCTAAATTTGCTTTAACAGAAACCAAGCAAAAGCAAATCTTTTCACAAACTACAGTTACTTCAAATTGAGTCAAGTAAAATTGAACATTTTGAATGTCAAAACAAAAAACTGCCTGGTGTATAGCAAGTTGTCTCTGTAAGTTACCTGTTTTTCTAAAGGTTGAGGCTTTCTGCAGAATTAGGAAGTTGTGACCCTCTTGGTCCCTAATGAATCAAGGCAATCACATACGGGTGGGTTTGCAAGTTGTAAAGAACTGGTCCTTTATTCCTTCAGGATGATTGCACTGTTTTGAAGTCAGTTACTTAATAGGTGAGAAATGTATTGTGTTGTTAAGTCTTTAGACCCTTGGAAAGACTTGAAGATTTTAGTTTATACAGATAGAAATCAGGCATATTTTATGCAATTTTTTTAATACAAGAATTACAAAACAGGTATTTGTTTTTAAGCTTGTAATTTTGAGAATCTTTATTAAAATGACATAATTTTTAAAAATCTAGTAGCTAAGAACATTTATGGCCACATTATCAATAATGTTTTTCTCTGCATATTGGCTAAAAGGGAATGAAGATGTCATCATAGGAATATGTATATATGCTACTGATTTGCCTAGAAAATAGCAAGTTTGGTATTGCTCATTTTGCAAATATAGGGCCATGTGGCACTTTTATCTATAGGACAGATTAACTCTAATAAAAATGAAGTGGGGAGGGGTTTATTTTTGATATATTACTATTATGAGTTTTCAAGCTTTGATAGTGTTAAACTGAAAAGTGGTTTAGAAAGGGCTAGAATCCAATGTGTTCACATTATTAAAAAAATTGATATAAGTTTAAGTTCATTCTTTTTCAAACCCAAGTACCATATTGGCAACCATAATATTGTCATAGGTGCTCTGTTCATTTAAATATTTGGGAGGGGCTTGGGGAAATGGCATTTGTATAATATATGTGTACATATATATACATACAGTATATAATCTAAAGCTCTGAGAGCTCTTAAGTCAGGAATGCTGAGTATTATAGTATATTGAAGTCAGATGAAATTTTACACTTTTGTGTCTTCTATTGCATCCCTTCTGGTAGCTTAAATGATGGTATTACTCCAGCACTCATGATTAATTTTTCAGATTTTCTTCCAAGAATTTTATTTTTTAATAGTTTTCTTTGGCTTGATACTTTGAAATGTTGTAGTCACTTGACTCCCCCCCCCCAAAAAAAAAAAAAAAAAGCATTTGGTTTTTTTTTTTGTCTCTGGCAGCTATAACAGTGGTAAGAATGTTTTGGAAATAACTTAAAAGGAACCACTGAGTTTTCAAAAAATCATCCTGGGGGAGCCATTTTGGTGTTTTGGTTGAGCAGGGATTTTTTTTTTTTTGGGGGTGGGGGGGTCCGAAAGTGTGTTTTGACAATAGGTCAGCAGCAGTGCAAGCAAGTGTCTGAAAGCACAATACCAGTCAGGCAGGCTGTCCAATCAGAAGTCATCTGGCTGAAGTTTATGTCTGTCAGGATGGAATCATACAAAGGCTTAGGAAGAAAAAAGTTTGTGTAAACCAGAATGCTTTTATTTATTTAAAGTGACTTCATCTAGATTTCTTTTCATGTTTAGGAAGTTTAAAGCTGTGATCAACTAGAGTCAGCTTTTAACATAAATTGGTTTATGGAAGGCTGCATCTTTGTGCGGGGAGGATTAAATAAAGCATATGGTAGAAACAGTGGTTATATACCTTCTCTATTACTAGGAGGCTTTATTATCTTTGTAACCCTGAAAGATGCTGGTGTAGTATTTCCCATTGATGTAGTACAGAAGTTCTATTTTATTTGGTTTATATTTACATTAATTCTTTGTATGTTTGGTGAAACTTGTGCTTTTAAAAAGGACCTAGTCTGAGTATTACTAATTTTATTATCAACTTACTTTTTGGTCTTTCTCAAGTCAGATAAGTTTTTTAATGAAAGCTTTTCATTGGTCTTATTTTATCACCTAACAGCCCAAAAATGATACAAAAGCAAAATATATACAAGTCAGATTTGACTAGCTCAGTTAAAGTTGGGCTCAAACTTTACCTTAAACTTTTTCATCATGGGTGAAGACTGAAGAACAGTTTAATTGAAATTAATTCAAATTATATTTCTTTCCAATTTTAAATGAGATTATCCTCACCCTAATAATATATTATTAATATGCCTAAATCCATTTAAGTTTTCCAGAATAGAAAAGGTGGGGTTTTTTGGTGGTTTTTTTTTTTTTTTTTTACAACTATTGTTGTCTCTCATCAGAGACTACATGCAATAAGTATTTTTTGCTGAATTATTTTCATTTTAACCTGGCTTTATTGTCATGAGAGAAGTGATGTCCAAGTTTGGTTTTTGGATGAATATGAGAAAAGTATGTTTTAGTAAACCTGTAGATGAATTATGAGATAAATTTGTTCACACAGTGGTATAAAGCACAACTAGAACTTTTGGGTGGCTTATGTACATCTTGAATAGTTATATTGACTTTTTTTTTTTCGGAACTGGGGATTGAACTCAGGCCCTTGCGCTTGCCAGGGAAGCGCTTATTCCACTGAGCCATCTCCCCGGCCCCAATATTGACTTTCTTAAATTGACTACATTGTCATTCTGTATTAGGAATTGTTTTCTTTCACTTTCTAGAATCAGTGGCCAGGAGAGGTATTAATCCTTGAAGGGTTGAACATATCATGAAGCTGAAGCAGTATGGAAGAATTTCAAACAAACAGGGTGCTGCAGTTCCATCTGTTACCTGCTTATGATATGTTCTTACTGATGAGTGAATGTAGCTTAAGCCTTTGTATGTGTCCTCAGGGGGCAGACAGACTAAGAGGGACCAGATAACATTTGAATGGAAAAACTGTATTTCAGGTGTTTTAGCTTGAAATTTATTTTTTAAAAAAATAAAAATAAAAAAAAAGAACAAAAGCCTGTGAAGTAAGTTGATATCATAAACAGGCAGAGTTGTTTAGCACAGAGAGAAAATACTGACCTGTCTGCATTTTGGTGCTGTGGATGCAGGTCCCAGCTGGACAGAACATGATACTTTTCAATTATTTTCACCAGCAAGTAAAAGGAAAATGAACCATCTATAGGACATGTCTTTGAAAAGTGTCAAACAGTAGGAAATTTAACCTCCTTTAATACTTGCCTATAGAAAAATGACATTTCTAAGTTTCTGTCTGAAGAGTGTCTCAGATTTAAGAGTAATCTGACGTTTAAGAATTGGTAGGGAAGGAAAAAAAGTCCCTGCAGATAATGATCTTATGTTAGTTGACCACATAAAATGATCTATTACGTTTGGAAGGTTTTATTTTCTTATGTTTTAAAAACTGAATTGGTAAATGCTTTATAAATGTATTTTTATCCAGGTGCCGTTCCAGTGTATATGTACTAAAATTATTTATATTAAAAGAAATAATTCATCAACATTCTTCTGTGAATATAGATTTATAGGGGTGGCAAAGAGTGCTAGTTAGCAGTTTCTTGTATAAGGTTGTCCTTGACTGATTTGTACTTGTCAGCTATAATCTCTGCCTTCTCCACTGCCCCCCAACAAAAGTAATTATTTTTAACCCAGATGTATCATGTGAAACTTTTTAGATTAAAAAATATATATAACCAGGGAAGTTCCTAGAAAGGTGTTTGGCTTTTTTAGTTTTCCTTGAGAATTAGGGTAAAGAATACCTCCCCCAAAGCTATCAGCACAAAACAGGGTATCAGTTTTTAACTCTGATGTTTCTATTAGAGTTGAATTAAATAAATATAATGAGGGAAATACATTTCTAATAATATTCCCTATATTCTAGACACATCCCTGTTTTAATTTTTTACCTAAACTTTTGTTTTATGTGTAAAAAAAAAAATGTACTGAGTTACAATGCATTTATTAACACTATGTATATATTAGCTGCTTTGTGTTCAGAATGGTAGCAATTGCTTTGTATATTGAAGTGATCCTTGTGAATTTGTGAAATATTGTCATAAAGTGCTTTTTCTTACTGTAATCTTTGTGGTATCAACTGTCATAATGCCCTTTTTACACAGACATTTATGTGCAGTCACATAAACATGCTTTTAAAAACTCTGTAAGTCTCTTTTTTGGGGGGATGGTATTTTGTTTCATGCTTCTGTTTTTAAGGCATAGTTTCTTGGACTTAGGTTTATTCATTTTGTTAAATGAACATAATTGTGTTTGACTGTATGCCGAGTTTGTGTTGCACAGCAGTGGAAAACTAATTCAGGCAATAACCTATTTTCAGTTCATTTTATTGCAATTCTGGCTTTTAGCACAAGGCTTTTTTCTTTCTTTCTTCCAGTAACATTGAACAATGCCCACAGGAAGATCTGAAGATGCCACTGTCCTGTTGACATAACTAATGGAAACAATGACTTTTTTTCTTTAGTGTCATATAATGCATATTTGCGCAGAAGGAACAGGTTCCAGGCATCTTTATAATTAGAAAATTCTACGATTACGTAAAAAAGAGATGTGGTTTTAATCATTGCTTAAGGTATATAAATAACAGATTCCTAAAATCTCAGAAACATTCTGAAGCTTCTAAAAATAAGCAGTTACATTTATTCCTAAGTATTATATGTCCTTCCCAACTCTCAAGATGTGTGCATTATGTGTAGTAATTTTCCACTATACTGAAAACATTACATGAATTTCATTTTACCCTTCAAAGTGACTGCTTAATTTATTGATAATCTTGACATTTTTTAGAGTGAAAGAGTGATATTAATTTCATGAGGAAAACAGGTGTAAACCCAACATTCGCTGAGCAGGTTGAAGCCTGTGATCATCCTTGTAAGCCAAGTTCAGGTACCTGAGCTTCTAGAAAAGTCAAGAGTGCCTATCTTTTCCTATATTAGCTGCCACATAATAAAAGGATAGACTTCTGAGTGCTGAAGTGACAAGAAAATTTTCTTTTCTAGAAGCCTAAATGAATGATACCCAAGAATACAATTTTAATACACAGTGATAGTCCTTTCTACTCCACTGAACTGTAGATTTGTATTTGTCATTTCCAACCAGATTGCAAAACTGGTCCCAAACAGGACTTGTAATACTCCTGTTGATCCATTTCTTTAGCTGGCTTTTTCCATCTTGTGATACTGCTATTGCTATCCACAAAACTGCCACACCCAGAAAAATACTGCCTTACTGCTGTCTTTCGTCATGGTGCCTTTTAATTTTTCCACATCTTACAAATGCAAACAGAGCGCTGCAGGTTTTTGTAAGGGCCTAACATCTAGTGAAAAGGATGATTTTCAGGACTATGGATGCTAATTTTCACCTGTTTTTAATTGAGGTGCATTTCATTTGTATTTTAAAGTGAACAATTTGATGGTATTTAATGGATTCACAATGTACAACTAAAACTTCTATCCAGTTCCCAAACATTTTTATCCAAAAATAAAACTACGAACCCTTTAAACAGTTACTCTCCATATTTTCCTGCCCTTCCCTACCACGTTTGCTTTTTGTTTCTATGAATTTACCAGTTCTGAGTATTTCAAATAAATGGAGTCATGTAATACGTATATCATATGACTTGTGCCTGACTGCTTTCATTTAATATGCCTTTTTAGGTTCATCCCATTGCTGCATGTACCAGTACTTCATTCCCTTTTATAGTCAAGTAGTTTTTCATTGTATAACCTAATTGTTGATGGACTTTTACATTGTTTCCACATTTGGCTATTGTGCCTAGTATTACTGGGAATATTTGCATACAAATGTTTGAGTGCTTATTTTCAATTCTTTTGAGGTATATACTTGGGAGTGGATTGCCGTGCAATGGGGTAATTCTGTTTAACATTCTGATGGATTGTGAGATGCCCTGAGGAGCTGCACTATTTACACCACTGATGTACAAGGCTCCCTCTTTCACTACATCTTCCCCAACATTTGTTTTGCAATTTTTAAATTAGGGCTATCCTCACTGAAATGAACTCACTGCAGTTTTTAATTTGCATTTCCCTAATAAGATATTGAGCATGTTTTTCCCCTTGTGTATCTTTGGAAAAATAATCTTGTGTTTGTTTTGTAATTGGGTGTTCTATATTCTGTATGGTGTAGATCTTTGTATTTTATCCCATTCTGCAAGTTTTTAATTTCTCAGTAATTGTCTTCACTATAACTTTGATTTGTTTTTAAAATCACTCTGGAAAAAACTAAACATAACATTAGGCAAACAGTAAAAAAGCAATTTCTTGTGTGCTTTAGTGATGATCTCAGTTGTACACACAAGTATATATTCACTCTTCCCTTGTTTTACCCAGAGTGGATTATAAACTATTCCCATTAAGTTGTTTTAAACTTTTGAAGGTTATACATACATACTAGATATTTACAAATTAGTATTTGTATAAGCTTGCGTATCTTCAGGATTGGTACTAAGAAGTTATTTCTGAAATACATGCTGTTTTCTTATTTAGAGATTGTTTCCTAGGTATTAAGAATCTGATACTTTATTTTGTTTATGCTAGTTAGTATATTTTTAATGTCACACTTCATCTGCTTTTAGAAAAATTGCAAGTAGCAAGACCAGTTTTATGCAAGGTTAAGTAGCCTTCCCTTTTTGCTTCTATTAGTACTGTTTACCCTTCTAATCTTCAACTGTTTTCATTAATTTTCAATATCCCATCTTTTCTAGTGTACCTAAATTTTTTTAACCCATGGTTGTAGACAGAAAAGTATGTCATGCTTTGAGAGCAAGAATACCTACAGCTAACTATGAAATCTCAGGTTTTTAAAAAAGCAGCTGAGGACTCCCCAGACTTCATGCTGCTCAGAGAACAATCTCCAGCTCCCAAAAGCAACACTGCAAGACTCACTCATTCTTGTTTTAAAAAACCCAAACAAAGTGCTACCTCAAGTTTCACTTTGTTAATGTATAAACTGGTAGCGAATGCTTCCCATAAACTAAAGTATGCAGTTGGGAGCTCGTAGGGATGTAGCTTAATGGCAGGGCACTTCCCTAGTATTCACAAGGCCCACTCCCCAAATTCAATTTCCAACACCACCTGGGAAAAAAAAAAAAAAAAGGCAAGTAGTATGGATTGTTGTTAATAATGTGACTGTTACTGTTATTTTAATATCCCTAAATTAATTCCTCCTTACTGAAGTATCCTAATCTGTTAGGGTATAAGTTGCATTTGCTGAGATGAACATTTTAAGGCTAAATTTTGCCCTAAAAAAGTCTTACATTCAGCTAAAGTATTTTGATGGATCAGAATTCTGTTCCTTCATTGTAAAACATTCTGTGTTAGAAACTACCTGAAGATGGTACTATGGTACTGGCTTTAAATAGTTCTATCAAGAACTAAAATAAGCTATCCTTAAGAGGGAACTACCTCAAGAACAAGAGCATTCTTTCTAGTGGACTTCAGTCTGATATATATATATTTTAATACAGTGCCTTAAAATCAGTGTTTGATACTTAGGGCTTACTGGTATACAATGAATTACTTAACTGCATAAACGTTAAAGAAGTGAAACAGTGAAAGTCAAGGCTTAGTAAAATTGGCTTGATCTAGATTTCTGTATTAAGAATGAAACACTACTAAAGCCAGGCACACTGGCACAACCCTAGAATTCCAGCCCTTAGAAGCCAGAGCTAGGAGGACCATGAGCTTCTGGCCAGCCTGAAGTGTAGTGAGACCCTGTCTCAAACCCCACTCAATAAATGTAGAAAAAACACTGTATTTACACATACAAAATAATCATTAAAAGGTTTAAAAAGGTAAGGTCTTTTAATAGTTTGTAAACCTCTCCAGTATAAATACCATATGAGATTAGAATATTCTTGTGGTCTAAATTTGTTTAAACTTTTACATTATAAAAACAAAGGTTCACACTGCAGGACTTCATAAAGTCTGTGGAAGATAATCATACGACAGTGTAGCAATCATTTAAGCCAAAGTCAGCACTCTGTAGATGGAATGCATCTTTTTCATTATTTGCTGTCATATACCAGATGTGGAAAGCAGCAATGCTTAAAGAGGTAGAAAACTTTTTGGCCCTCTAACAGTTCAGTCTACTGGGAATACCTACTGAGTAAGCAACTATAGGTAAGATGGTGGGGGGTAGTGGCAAAAGCCTGGGACAGTGCTAGGTAGACTATGGCACACACAGCCCTCAGTCACCCCAGCAGCCAACCATCAGATGTTCAGGTTTAACTGCAGAGTTGGCACTTTGTGATAAATAAGTAGGCTCTAGGTTGTAGTTCAGGTTCTTGGTCTCTAAAAGGTTTACTATCTCTGGCCTCGGAGACAGATGTACAAAATTGTGAGAAACGGGCCGGGGAGATAGCAGTCTAAGTGCCTGTCTGGTCAAAGTGTAAGGTCCCAGGTTCCATCCTCAGCACCACATGCCATGCAGGCCTCCTAGGCATGGAGGCACCCACCTATAATCCCAGTGCTCGGGAGGCTGTAACAAGTCTGGGCTGTGTAGCAAGACTCTCTACCAAGTAAGTTTTTTAAAACACTGTGAGAAAGAGCGAAGTTTCCAGTCTAAAGCTTCCAGTCCAAGGCTTTGATGCTTTCAAAAAGTAATTGATGTTTTTACTTATTCCTCTGTGTATATACTTGCCTTCAAACCAATAAACAGGGCACAAACTCCAGAAAACTCCCATTGTAATTCAAACAATCAAATCTTTAGTAACCTAAGTGGGCCAAGACTTTTAAGAGCACTAAAAGCTCAGATTATGTGTTAAACCTCTTACATTGAGTAAATCAGAAAATTGGAATAATGATTATATATCTCAGAATCTTCGCAAATAAGCTACATGACTTCACCTCATCAAAACAAACTCAGTAGTTTAAGGGACACCTTTACAACGACTTGTCCTTGTGTCGGTGAAAACTTTATCAAGGTAAAGCAGCACAGGAAATAATATAACCCATAATCTCACACTTTAATGTTAACTGAATTTCAGAGCAGTAAGATATGCCTAAGAATCACAATGGAATAAAGCCCTGCTGTTTTAAAACTGCGTGTGGGCTTTGTTCTGAGACTCCCTTCTTTAGACACAGTAAGCCACCTCATTAAATATGGTTAGATTCCAAATTAAGGCTAAGACCTTAATTGACCTTAGGGCCAATATTCTTTTTTCTGGGGGGTGGGGGAGCAGAACCAGGGATTGAACTCAGGCCCTTGCACTTGCCAGGGAAGCACTTATTCCACTGAGCCATCTCCCCGGCCCAAGGGCCAATATTCTTAATACCCTATTATAAATCTTCCCTCTGGCTTCTCTTCTGTGCTTTGTAAATGTGTACATCTTTTTCAGGATCATAGTGAACCTTACTCACAGTGAATTTCCTCTCCATCATCACTAAGAAGTTGTTATCCCGTTCATAGCGAATTCGGCAAGCTAACAATATTACACAGTGATCACTACAGAGATAGTCCAGTGTCTGAAGAAGATCTGTGAATGTTTCTTCTAAATATATGATATCAGCTCCAAGTATCAGGTCAAATTCTCCAGGTGAAAAACTCTCCAAATTTTGTCCCCAAGTCAGCTCCTTAACAACAGTGTTGGTTTGGACATGAGGAGGTAAGTTGGCTTGAACGTTTGATTTAAGAAATTCTAATGCTACTTTTCGATCCGTGACAGTCACATGAGCACCTACAACGTGGGACAAAGAGAAAGTAATGTGCAAATCAGTACAACTGTTGGTAGAGAGGGGGTCAGATTAAACAAACAGTGACCTAAATAGTCTATCCAATACAGAGTATCTATGTCCTTCACAAACACAGTTGGAGTAGATCAGAACCATGGTATCTCTTCTACATGGCTTTCTTTTTTTTTTTTTTTTTGCGGAACCGGAGATTGAACTCAGCCCCTTGAGCTTGCCAGGGAAGCGCTTATTCCACTGAGCCATCTCCCCAGCCCCTACATGGCTTTCTAGTAAGAATAAACTTTTGATTTGCCTCCATAACACAGCTGCTGTTTTCTGAATTTGGGCTTGTAAACTGCAGTGTCACCAAGTGACAGCAAATAATTCTAAATTCTACAAGCAGAGCTGCTCCACCACTCATACCTATGTGATGCTATACTCCATTTATTAGACCATGACCAAGTCAACAGGCCTCTGGGTAAAAAGGAATCCAAGAACAAAAAATTTGGAAGCAGAGTATTTTCATTAAAATAACAGAAATGGAAAGGTGGTTTTGTGGGGTTAAAGCTTTTTAAAGCACCAAAGAGAAGCTGGCTACTGAGGAATCCCAGTCCGCCTCTCCTTATTCTGCTTTGAAGTAGCTAACCTCTACATGTTTATGTAATACATAATCACTGAAAACTGTACACTTACCTACTGTAAAATGGATATGGTAGTACATGCCTTTAATTCTAGCTATTTGGGAGGCTGAGGCTGGGAGGACTGCAAGTTGAGACAACTCTGAGCAGCCTAGCAAAACTTTTTTTTTTTTTTTTTTTTTGTATTTTAGGGAAGGATCTACAAAGGTGTTCAGGGTCTCACTACTAGATTGGACCCATAGTGATCTGCCCGTTTACAGCCTCCCAAGAGCTGGGATTACAGGTGCATGCACCACCACACCTGGTCTCAATTGCCATCTCAGTGTGCCTTGGGGTGCCAAATCCTACCTCAGAAAGGGCTGTGGATGTAAACAACTGTAAAGCACTTGACTAGTTCAATCCCAAGTACTGCCAAGATAAAAAAAGATAGTATCTAAGGAATCCAAGTTAAAATGCTAGTTTCCATTTACATGCTTTTTCTAGATACCATGCACAAAATTAATGAGGTAGGCTTTTATTGATCTTTCTTGTGGGTTACTAACAATAAACTAAAAGATTTACTATTGTTTTAACCCATATGAATGCCAGAAGACTGCTTCCCTTACGATAAAGCAATCACATTAGGTCAGCCCTAATATACCTCATCTACAAAAGTATGATCATGTTCATTTTGGACCCAGGAATTCTGACTCTTAAAATGTTTCATTCTTTAATAGAAATGTTTCTCCTTTGCATCCTTTTTTCAGCAAGCAGTCTCCCAAATGGAGTCTCACACCAGCTGTGGTCAGCACTGTTCCAGACAGCTTATACCTGGTCTTTCCTGCCATATAACACCATGGCAGTATGTAATTCAATTTGACATTTATAGTCCTAGAGTGTGACGCAGATGAAAATGCTCAAGCTGTTAGATTTACAAGCCTGGGCTTCATGAGCCACTTTAAGTATTCACTGCTAGACCATGTACCTCTTCCTGGTTTGATGTCCATTTTCCTCTCTTCCCTCCCTCATACTTTCTTTGTCCCTTTCCCTCTTTCTGGGAGGAGGTCTCACTATATTGCCCAGTATAACCCCAAACTCTTGGACTCAAGTGATCCTCCTACCTCAGCCTCCAGAGAGGCTGGAACGATAGATGCCTGCTGCCATGTCTGGCCAACTCTGGATTCCTTACTGATCCACGGAGCACTCTTCTGGCAATACAGCAGTGATCTATTCTTTTAAACATCAATCCAGGATTAATTTTAATGACTTCTCTAATGCCTGTCTCGGGGATTTTGGAGACTAGGTCTAACTTACCGACTATTACGGAAGTTTAAATAAATCTTAGTGTCTACTGACCATTTCTCTATAATAAATATCTGACTACCACCAGCCAGCAGACAAATACTCCTACCTTCACAGAGCTTATGTTCAGGTGAGAAAACAGGTAATAGCTATGTTTTTTCTAAAAAAATAGAATACCCAGTTTGTCAGCTGGTGATACCACTAAGGAAAAAACTAAAGCAAAAAAGATAGGCCTGAAATTTGAGACAGACAGGTATGGAGGTAAAGTTTAGGTGTACAGGGAGGCATGGAGATGGTGCTGAGTAGGGCACGAGAGAGGGAGGAAGGGGACAGCCAGAGGGGAATGAGGGATGAACATTCCAGGCAGGAGGAGGCCAATGCAGCTGGAGCCAAATGAGGAACCGAGGCACAGGAGAGGAGGTCAGAGAAGTCACAGGGAGCACGGCACATCACCGATAGTTCATCAGTCGTGTTTCAGAGGGCATCTGGTTTTTACCAGGTGAGAAAAGCCACTGGGAAGTGTTGACTCTTACAGCCTCCCAAGAGCTGGGATTACAGGAGCATGCGCCATCACACCTGATCTCAACTGCCATCTCAGCACGCCCTGGGGTGCCAATCCTACCTCTGAAAGGGCTGTGGATGTAAACAACCATAAAGCACTTGACTAGTTCAATCCCAAGTACTACCAAAATAAAAAAGGATTTTTTATTCAGACATAGGCTGAGCCGATATCTGAAGGGTCTGACTTGGATTTTTAAGTGTCTCTGGTGGCAGGCAAGGCCAGAAGAAAACAAGCTGAGCCTCCACAGTAGTCCACGTGAAGGGTGCTGCTGGCCTCACCCTGCTGCAACCAAACACCCTCCAGAGCCAGCTCCCAAATGCAACCTGCCCTCCACGATCTGTCCTCCTGCTCTCACAGAATCTCCTCTTCACTGTGTGTTTGGGCTGAATCGGCTAGAGGTGCATCCCTGCCCCTTGCAGCTTTGCCCTTGGTTTTGCTTCGCTTGTGTAGGGTGGGAGATAAACAGCACAGCTTCACCCATCTTTTAAACTCTCTGGTTTCTCTCTGTCACTTTCCCCTCTCTGGTAGTTTAAGCAAGAGGCAGTCTTGTAGTTTCCCACAATTTCAATTCTGCTGATTTCATCTGTGTAGTTCCCTACGTGCCTCTGTCCACTCTGTCTCCTATAAACTTGTCTGAGGTAGAGACTACTTCAGAGCTAGTGGTGTGTTCTTTCAGAAGTCCATAATGTCCGGCAGGCTCTACTTTTGAGACACAAGCAGCCATTAAGCCTCAGTACTCAGATCTTTACTTCTTTATATTCTTCTTATTCTTCTTAAGAAGTAGTTACACTGTAACTGAATAACTTTTGCTTCTCCATCCCTTTTCACTAGCCAGATTTCAAAAAAAGACTTGATTTCTCAGCATTCCCCCCAAATAACTAGGGTAATTTTGTTGCTGTAAATACACGGATGAAACACAATGTGTTCCACTGACATTACCATTACTAATGTTCAAGTTGTCCCATTTTTTTTTGCCAGTGGCCTCTGACATAACCCTAGTCATCTTTGACAGGTTCTCTGCTACCTCTAGGAAGATATTCCAGGATGCTCTTGCTCATTTCCTGCCACAGACTGAGAGCCAGACACTTTAGTTTATGTCCCTTATTCTGTTAAGATGGGAGAAGTAAAAGCAAGTTTATATGCTGATGGAAGTGATCGAGTAGAAAGGGAGAAAAGTGGCAAAGCAGGAGCAATACCCTGAACAGGTGAGAACAGACAGGCCAAGAAGGGCACTCACTCAGACAGGACAGACATTCAAGTGAACAAGCTATCCAGACCAGGTGGGGGGGAGGCCCTAGTAGGGGGGGTATGGAGTTTTCTTCAGGTCCCTTAAGGCTTTGCACTGAAATGAGGAATGTCAGTAGCCAAGAGTGAAACATGAAAAAGAATGGAAGTTTGAAAGCTAAAAAAACCATGAAAATCAGCAGAATAAGAGAGTAGCTAGAATGAGACTGCACAGCAGCATCCAGATCCTCTGGAGAACTGGGCAGGGTGGTGCCCGCCTAGAATCCTGGCACTCTGAAAGGCTGAGGCAACACAGCTGCTGGTTTTAGCCTGGTCTGGGATACTTAGCAACTTAGTGAGACCCTGTCTCAAAATAAGTAAAAGGCTGGAAGTGTAGCTCAGTGCAAAGGCCCTGCCCAGCACTGACAGCAGAAAAGAAGCCACTGGATCATGAAAGCTGCATTTCACCTGGGTTGTTCTGAGCTCAGTTAAGTAAAATGATGCATTGGTGTGCGCAGCGTTGACAATGTATGAAAATGGCAATAAACTGACCAGGTAGGGGATTTATGCTGGGTAAGGAGGAAAGTGCGAATACTGAATTCACAACAGATGACTGGAAACAGACCCAATAAGAAACACAGCATGCTGCCCTCCTGTAGAAATGGGAAAAGAATGTGCCACCACTTTTAGTGCATACACACCACTTTAATGTATTCAAATATTTAAGCACATCTTACATGTGGGAGACACAAAGATGAGCAAGAGATCTTTACCCAGAGCTCCAATGGTCATGGACAGCTATATAAACACAACTGATGCAGTATAGGAAGCAAAATAATAAGAACATGGGTGTGCACAGGAAGTCATGCAGTTACAAAGGAGAAATTTCTCAAGAGCAGCAGATATCACAAGGGAAATTTGGGGCTGGGGAGATGGCTCGGAATAAGCGCTTCCTTGGCAAGTGCAAGGGCCTAAGTTCGATTCCCGGTTCCGCCAAAGAAATAATAAAATAAAATAAATAAATAAAAAGACATTCGGTCTAATGTTTCTAGACAAAGGTGCAGGGACCAGATGATGTGAAGAGTCTTAAGGCCTTCTGTTGTTGTGCACATTACACAAGGGAAACTTGAGCTTACACTTAGGTATGACATGACCTAGGGAAAGGGAAGAGGATCATTAGGGCCAAAGGCAGAGGCCAGAGCATGGTGAGTGCCCCAGACCCTTCTTAATGGAGAGGCTGAAGAGTCAAGCAAGGTGAGATTACAAAATCTTACTGAAAAGCCTGGCAATAGGAAGCAAAGAAATGTTTTAACACAAGTCACCCCCTGAATTTTGCTTTTAGATGGGATATAGCGACAGTTGCTGAGAAAACTGGACTTGAGATGACAAAGCAAAGGCACAAAGGCCAGAGGCAGAAAGGCCAAGTTGGAGGATGCAGGGGTCACCCAGGAGACAGGATAAGAGCCCAAGCCTGGGTGACAGGAGAACGTGACCTCTGGAGAATGTAGAGCTCAAAGATTGCAGAGCTCAATGAACCAGAGGAGCCAAGGTGCTGGCCAGTGACTCCTGGCACAGTGAGGCCCACTCAGAACAATGGAGGAAGAACCAGCTTGGAAGGGGAAGGAGTTCACACAAGTATTGTTTGAGATGTTGGGAAACAGCCAGGTAAAAATATCTGGCTTTCAGCTAAATGTCCAAGTCAAAAGTTCAGTAGAGATTTGCAGAGAATTAGAGAAAAGTAAAAGTGCCTTCCTGAACATTATATTTTAAGACAACAGTTCCTAGGCCTAGTTGGTCATCAGGTCACACAGGAAGCTTTTAAAACCCAAATTCCCTGACCCAAACCTAATTCAAAGAATCCTGCCTTCAAGACTGCTATTTTTCTTCTACAAATAGTTCCCAAGTTGCACAAAGGCGGGAGAGATTTTCAAACTAACAACCAAAGTTTGAAGTTCCACTGGATTCACATTCTAACCACAACCCATCAGCTTTGCGACCTTGCTCAAGTTATGTCCCTCTTTCACCACCTGAAAAGAACTCTAAGGCCAGGTCTATTTACATGCAGGGTGGCAGTGAGAACGGATGCAGTACACTCCCCCAGAACCCAGGAACTACTCAATTATTAGCAGCTATAATTCTCTTTTAATGGGAAAGTCTCCTTGCCCTATATTAACATTCTGCATATCATTAACCACAGGGAAGGAGGAGGACTTTTTAAATGTAATTTGTCTTTGTTGTTCCCCTCCCACCAGACTTAGCGGGTAAACAGTTCTGAGACACCCATCTGCCTGCTGTTCACTGCTCTAATCCCAGTGATCTACGAGGCATAGGTAAGGAGATACTCCCTGAAGTCAGGAATCAGTGACTAAGTTTATAGGGGGAGAAGAAACTTTCAAAAGGAAAATAATTCAATTGCTTTTTTATGTTTCAAAATCTGTGTCTTAGTTCTTTTTTTGGGGGGGGGCGCTGGCTCAGAATGTCTTCAGGGCAGATCTGGCAAGGCTTGAGGTTCTGGGGATCAAACCACAGCATCCTGAGCTTGACTACTTTGTGTAAGCAATCACTTAAAGAGGTGAGCTAATGGGCAGGTACCCTTCAGTTCTATTTCTAAAGACATTTTTTTCTTACCCTCAGGTTTCAATATCAAAACATCTCCAGTCTAACATTTTGTAGCAATTAAGTTTGAAATCATACAGTAGAGCAGAGAAATGTTCATAATGTATTAAACGTTTTTATATATATGGATATACATATATACACACAAGCAGACATATCTATAAGTAACCATAATTAATTATAATTTAAAAATACAGATGGAGAAAGAATGGAAATGTACCAAATGCTAATGGTAATTATGTTGCAGAGCAATGAATAATTATTTTTGTAATAGTTACACTATTTTAATAACAGCAACATTAATTTTCATGTTTTCATTTTCAAAAAGCCATCAATCCAGTTCATTCATCTCTTATTTGAGAACTACCTAAACATTCAGAGTGGCAGGTGCTACTCTAGGGCCAAGGACACAGTGTGACATACAGTCCCATTCCTCACACCCCTACCCTAACAGGACAGGCAGATGTGTGAAACAACCACCCACATGCAAGGAGGTGGAAGACCCTGGGGCAGCAGGAAAAGGTTCGGAGTGCTGAAAATGGAGCTGCAGCAAAGAACATATCTCCTGACCACCAGAGCATCTGCCCTGAGCCGCTGCTCAGCCTCCACAGCTGAGTCTTGCGTGGGAACAACTAACCAATGCTTGGCTCTTTGACACTATTTGAAATACCATATCCTGACTTTTCCAACTTCACAGATAAAAATTTCTAGATCAGAAATATTCAGAATAGCAGCTAACATCCACAGAACACTGAATCTTACACTTTAATACTGTTATTGACCCCCCCCCTTTTGTATTTAGGACAGGGTCTGCAGGGTCTGCAGGGTCTCACTATGTAGATCAAACTCGTAGTGAACCACCTGTGTTCAGCCTCCAAAGAGCTGGGATCACAGAGGTGCAGACCACCATGCCCAGTCTCAATTGCATGGCTCGGAGGCAGGGCCAGCAGGACACACCGGGTTCCCCAGCTGCTGCACTCTGCCTAACCAGGCACTCTAGTCTGCTGAACCATCTGGCTGGCCCTTACTATCCTCTTTTTATGGGTGGGGAAATCACCTTTGGAAGTTAAACAGCTTACCCAAGATCACACAGACAGTAAGAGTTCAAAGAAATGTGAAAACCCAGCATAACTAAACTTATGCATTTTACCATACTAACATGCCTATAAAACAATGCATGAACTCTGCTTCTCAGGATAAAACAGAAGAAATCCCATTCCCTTCCAATAACTCTCTTCATATCAGTGGGGAGGGAAGTTAGTATAGATTTAAGCAACTTCATCTGAAAAAACTATATACATGGATTATTCTCCTTAAAATCCAAGTCACTTTAACGTCACAGAAGAAAAGGGGGGCAAGGCAATCTGCCATGAAAAGCAGAAAAAATAGGATAACAGAAATTTGCAAGTTGGCCCACAGCTCATAAGCATGGGGAAAGAAATTAAACCAGGAAGAGAGAAACTAAGAGTGGGTTTTGTGCCAGGAAACGAGCAAATGCCCTCTGGGAGTTCTGCTCACACTCACCCAGCAGGGCAGCCACGATGCCCACCAGCCCTGTGCCGGCCCCCAGCTCCACGGCAGAGCAGCCCCTGAGCTTCACAGCGCCCATCTCCAGGTACGTGGACAGAACGACAGCCTAAGTCAAAATACGGTGAAATTAGGATGCAGCCAGCAGAGCTAAAGTAGCTACTGAGTCTTGGCTACACCCTGGCAGAAGACTAAGCACACCCACCTGGCTCTGTGATGCCAGTCCCATGCACCAACATGCACGGGAACTTGGTGCTCCATCAGGGCGACCTGCAGATCCTCATGGCAGCAGCGAGAGCCAGGGCGCTGGCATGTTTACACTAACATCTACAAGACTACTACAGAAGGACTGGCACGAACGCCCCTGTGATTGCATTTAAGGTGATGTTTGGTACACCACTATCATCACCCCACAGGGACCCTGCCCTGTGGCAGGAGTGTCCAATGTGAGCCTGCCCAAAATGTGATGCGTGAGTTAACATTTGCCTCTGGTCTTATAACAGGAATTACATATAACATTAACATCACTTGTTATGTCATTTCTCACACTATAATTGGCAGTTCCTCCACTTGGTGAGCATTTCGGAAGAATCCCATTCCTCGGTCTCATTATTGTTCTTTTTAAATCACTTATGGGAATGGTTTCTATGTAGTTACTATGGACTGGTTTCCTAGAACCAGTATTACTAAGGTTAATATATTAATATTTTAAGCCAGGCATGATGTCTGTAATCTCAGCACTCAGAAGGCTGAGGCAGGAAGACTGCTCGTGAGTCTGAAGTACAAGTCCAGGCTGAACTACATAGCAAGACCCAGTCTCAAAAAAAGAAAAAGAAAATGTTAATATTTTTATTCCTAAATGTTTTCTGCCATTCCCTCATACAATAATTAAGACTGTAAAACTGTATTTCTTCCAATCATTGATTTTTTAAAAGAGAACACAAAATAATAAAAAAATTAGAAATGATACAGAATTTCACTAAACAATATGAATTTGACAGTATTTGTTGTATAGTGTTGTCTTCAACTTAGTTGTTTAGATTACCAGAAATACACATGCAAAATTAGGAGGGGGAAATCATAAGAAATTAAGAGAGAAAGTGGAAACAGTGAGAAAAAAAAAAAAACAAAAAACAAGCGTTAACTGTTCCTTTCCACAGAGCAGTAGAGATCCACCGTACAATTATCCAAGCCATCCTGCATACATATGTAGATCTAGCTCTTCCCTCGCCTGTCCTTCTCTTCTAACTCCTTTTTTTTTTTTTTTTTGTATTTTTTAGGGAAAGGTCTACAGGGTGTTCCAGGTCTCACTACTAGATCAGACTCTCAGTGATTCTCCTGTTTACAGCTCCCAAGAGCTAGGATTACAGGCGTGTGCCACCACACTCAGTGATTCCTTCTTTTTGAATAGATTCATTTTCTTTTCACAGTATCTATTGTACCCTTCAGATTTTATTTACTCTTTCAGGTTCTTACACTAGGAAGACAACACGATGCTTACACATGTGGGTCTAATTTATTTCACTAGAGCATATGATCTCTAGTTGCATTCATTTACCAATAAAAGCCTCAAATTTGCCCTTTTTTATAGCTGAATAATACTCCATTGTGTAAAAAGACCATGTCTTTTTTTATCCATTCCTCAGTTGATGGGTATTTGGGTTGTCTCCAAGATTTAGCAATGACAAACTGCACTGCTATAAACATGTACACACGTATATTGCTATGGTAAGATATTTTCAGCACTTCTGGGAAAATACGCAGGAGGGGAATAGGTGGGTTGAATGGGACTTCTAATCCTAGTTTTCTTTTTCAGTACCGAGGATTGAACTCAGGTCCCTGCGCTTGCCACGCAAACGCTTATTCTACTGAGCTATCTCCCTGGGCCCTAATCTTCGTTTTCTGAGATTTCTCCACGCTGCTTTCCACAGTGGTTGTACCAGTCTGCACTGACTTACTATTAAGTAAGCCTCCCTCCCCGAGTCACCAACCTCAACAGACAGCAGGGCTGGAAGAGGTAGAAAAGCACCAAGTCGATAACCCTTGTGCTGCCTTGGAGAACTCCAAAACAAAGCCATGACACGCGTTCTGGGGCTTTGTCACATACATATTCTTGGGGCCATATTTTCAAAAGCCTAACTCCCCGAATCCCTAGAGGTCGGGGCTCCACCTGCTTTCCTGTCAGTCTCAGGTCACCCTCTGGATAATAACTGAGTCGTGACTCACCCTCCAAACGCAATGTGCCTGAGTGCCTGAGGGAAGAAATTGTGACTGGGGAGGGCAGGGGTTGTACTGGTGGCGAAAATCTTTAAAATTTGAGGTGGTGACGGTCGCATTACTCTGAACACTTTTTTCAAAACACACCGAATGTGTGCATTTGAAACAGGTGAAGTGCATGGTATGCGCATTACATTTCATAAATCTGTTATTTTTCTTTTTGCAACCAAAGCGAGTCTTGCTTGTAAGTGTGGTCGCTTTCAGAGGGAGGGCCACTGGGGCTTACTTACCGCGTCCCAAACCACCGCTGCGACCCCCAGCTGCCTCCAGTCCTGGCGGACCCGGATGGTGTGGTCTGCAAAGCAGAAGGTGGCGAAGGGCTTGTGGAACTTCGGGAGCCCCGCTCCCGCGGCCTCGTCATAGGGCACGAGGGCCATGGCCCGAGCCGGCTCCGCTGGCCTGTCCCGCCGGGCGGCCCGGACCCCGTGCCACAAACTCCGCGCTTGGGGGACTGCAAACGATCCGCTGTGTCACAAGTTCCAAAGGAGAAAAGAAACCGTGAGGAAAACCGAACCCCTCGAGCCGGGCTCTGCCTCCCTCCGCGCCCACGCGGCCGGAGCGCCCGCCCGCCAGCTCCTCGCCGCGGCTC